TTTGGCTATAAAAATTGCTCTAAGGGTGCTTATTTTCGGAGGAAAAACATCATACGGTCATATAATACAAACAATAATATTGATATTGGTCATACGAAAATAACAGAAAATTTTTTTCATCGTGAGTTAATATCACTCATGTGCTGCTACGCCGTACATAGAAGCGACATTAACTCCGATGAAAAAAATGTCCTACTATTTTTCATCGTCTGATCAATATCTTGAAACTAATTGATCTTACGTTGCTGACTAACTCCAAAAAGAGGGTCTCTAGTAGAGCATTACAAGGTGAGGTATAATCGGCTGATAAGTGTCACTTCCCTCACCTTTACGATCAATAAATTTACCTTCGATCTATTGTTATTAAGTGAGTATTTGAAAATAACTTTTTAAAAATTTACAATATAATTAAACCAAACTATATAGTTTATTTTCATTGTAGTTAAACCAAATTTATTCAGCTACAATATAGTTAAACCAAACCAGTTAGATTACAATATACCAAACCAGACTAATTTGGCTATATTGAAATCAAACTGGTTTTTGGCGGTTTTAAAACCCAAACCAGGTTTAAAAAAATCCAACCCCTTAAACCAAGTTTTAACCTGGCTTTTAAAAAAACCTAACAGCTAGCGGCCCCCAAAACTGTATGCAATATATTACACAAATATGCAATAGTCGTCGGCTAATTGGATCCACCGACAATCATTTCACCGACAACTCACTTAGCCGACATCACGCCATGTGACAATTTACTAAAATATACACCTTCAACTAATAAAATGCTAATCTTAGCCCTATGTGATGTCGGCTAAGTGAACTTTCGGTGAAATGATTGTGGTGAAGTGAGCAGCACTGGGCTAAGAATTTAAATATATATATCGATACAGTGATAATCTAATTAAACCTTTTATTTTAACCTTAATTAAATATATACTTATAATCGAAGTGTTTGCCAAGCGAGCTCATTTAATTAGTAAATGTCACAAGTACGAAGGACGTAGGATAATTTCGCGAAACTTACCAGAACAATTCATTAAATTAAAGTTTCATTATGAATTCAAAATTATCATTGGTTTCAACTATTACGATGAACGATGGTCATAAAATTCCGCTTCTAGGTTTACCCCTAATTTATAATTTTGCTAGACCATTGATTAGACAATAATAATTTAAAATTTTGTTATTTTATTTTAAAAATGAAAGGCATAGGTATGGGTGGAATGGGCGAAAACGAAGTACCTCCACGTGGTGAAATCGCACAAAATGTCGTTTTATGGGCTCTGGAGGTAAATATTTTTTATATTTATTATTTTGTGTTTTGAGTTGAAATTTATTGATCTTTTTTTATTCTTTTATTTATTTTTACTATTATTATTTATTATTTTATTTTATTTTTTTGCATCATATAGGCCGGATATAGGCTTATAGATACTGGATCTCTGTATGGTAACGAGGAAGATATTGGAATTGGCATTATCAAAAGGTAAATCTATGAGTTAAAATTTCTTCATATAACTTTAATAAATTCTATCTGTCATTACGTATGTAGTGGAATTCCACGAGACCAAATCTTTATTACTACAAAAATCCAGGACGAAGACTGTATGAGATAACAAAATTTCGTATAATCTTTTTTTATAAGTTATTTTCTTACACCATTAAAATTTATGTGACAACGCAGGTGAAGGTTACGAACAAACCCTTAAAGCTGCCGATTCCTCTCTATCAAAACTTCAGACTTCTTACATCGACTTATTGCTTTTACATACTCCTAAATGTGGTCCTCAAAAACGAGCTGAATGTTTTAGGGCTTTGCAAGAATTAGTTAAACAAGGAAAAGTTAAAAGTATCGGGGTTTCGAATTACGAAGTAAAACATTTAAAGGAGTTAATTGATAGCAATCCTGAAACTATACCTGCTGTCAATCAAATAGAGGTAAACAATTTTTTTTATCATCAGATTTAATAATACTTATTAAAGAGATATTATAATATTTAGATTCATCCTTGGAATACTCGAAATGATATTGTAACTTATTGTGCTAAACATAACATTGTAATGGAGGCTTTTGCCCCACTTGCTAAAGGAAAAAGATTAAATGATCATGTTATTATTAAAATTGCCGAGAAATATAATAAGTCTACTGCCCAAATTTTGATTCGTTGGGTGAGTCTTTAATAGTTAATTTCATTTATTCAATACTTCTTTCTAATAGAATCTTAGAGAATATGATCAATATGTACGTAATAATATTTTTATATTAATAGTGCCTCCAAAATAACTTTATTCCATTGCCAAAAAGTGTAAATAAAGAACATATAATTGAAAATACTAAGGCATTCGATTTCGAAATTGAAAAAGAAGACATGATAACTCTTGGAAGTCTAGATGAACATTTTATTGTCAATGGTATGCTTTATAATTTTTTTTATTTTTTATTCATTTAAAATTAAATTGACTTTTATTTATTTATTTAATAGGATGGGATCCAGCTGATTTTGATTAATCATGATCAGCTTGATGAAATAAAAGATTAATAAACGAAATCATGAAACATAAAATGATATATCGGCTTGATGAAATAAAAATTTCGGATAAAATAAACGTAATTAAAAAAAATAAAAATAAAAATAAAAATTAGATGTTGGCTTGATAAAATAAAAGGTTCGGATTATATATATGAAATTAAAGGGTTCAGATGATGTAGACTAAATTGAAAGGCAAATTATCGAGGAAATCGAATGCTGAAATTCACATTATTGTTTGTGAAGATCATAACATATGATAAATAATGGCTTTTCTGGAATTTATGTAATGTACAGGTAGGAGGGTATTATGGTAAAGGTTATAAAATTTATTAATAGTAAAACTTTATTGAAAAGACTATAAAATACCGGTAGCTACAAATGTTTTTTGCATAATTTTTTGTTTAAAAAAAAAGAACAAGTTAACTTATATTTACATAACCTTTGTCAATTATGAGTAAAGTAGGTACTAATTTTTCATAATCTAAAATAAAACCAGTATCAGTATTTTAAATAATATTAACTATAAGCAGCTAAATAATAATACAGTATCAACAAGATAGATGGTCTACGGTAATCTCAAGTGATATTAAGAATCTATACTAATTTTGCAGCCTATAATAAGCTGTAATATCGACAGTTTAAAATAATATTCATAGCCTATATTAATACTGTATTGACAACCTATAATAATAACGACAGCCTATAATAATAATGACAGCTACAGTATAATGATTTTGACACTTATAATAATTTCTACAGGCGAAAATCATTTCGCTTTTTGTCATTTTGAATTACAATACGTATTAAAAAAATTTCACCAGTCTGCCATAAATTGACTATAATTTCGCACCAATGTATGATACTAGATATAATAAATAAATAAAAAAATAAAAAATAAAAAATCGTTAATATCTCAAAATTTTATCAAGAAAACCAACTTCGTGCTTTTAAGTAAAAATTTCAGCATTTAATTTTATATATAAATACATTTTTAACCCTAACCTACTAACTTTAAAAGTTACAGTATAATTTGTTTTTTATACAGAGTAGCATTTCTATAGGAAATGAATAGAATTTCCCCATAAGAAATTACTGTACGATCTTAAAAATATTGAAATAATAATTAACTTAAATATTATACAGTAATAAACTGATTATTTGCAAACATGATTAAATTCTCGATTAATTGATTTTCGCCGTCAATAGAAATCAAGCAGGTTTAAGGACTAATACCTTAACTTTCACAGGTCATGAATTTTAAAGTTATCTATCTTAATGGCAGTCCACATCAGGGTGAATTGTTTTATTCAACATATTACGTGCGTATGCATTCAGAAGTAGGGATGGTCGTCGGTATTCGATTATTGTCGGTTATAACCGGCAGTTGAACGGTTATAATCGAAGTTAACCAGTAAGTGACGGTTATATCCGGTTAGTAACCGGTTATTAGCAACCCAAACTCATCTCTACACTGAAGCACGATCCAGAAATGACTATTTTATGATTGGTATTCTCGTCTGTTGTTGATTTGCATTCTACTAGAAGTTTCGTCTGCAGCGCAGAAATCAAACAAGATTATCAATGCATTCGTTTTAAACGTTGAGCACATATGCATGCATATTAAAATGCACTGTCGGGCATTTAGAATCATATCAATACTACGTATAGTTATTGCATGCGAAGTATACAGTAACTGCTGTATTTTATGTTCCGGCTGGGTTAATCATCGACCATAAAATACAACAGTTGATGCATACGGGAACATGCCATGCAATAATATATATTATTTATAATATATATATACTATATATATGGTTTGGGTATTGTAAGTATAATTTTTATACTGTACCCAGTGGCATGCCAAATTTGATTTTGGCATGCCTTTGCCATTATGCCAGACACCCTAAATCTAACCCGTTCATGACATTTATTTAATATAATAGAATTACTATAATAAGCAAATGTTCGATTATTGAGAGTTGATACTATTAATAAGAGAATTTCAAGAAAAAATAAAATAAAATATAATGAAATGTAATATTATAAAAAAATAAATAAAAATAAAATATAATAAAATGTAATATAATAAAATAAAATAAAATAAAAATAAAAAAAGGAAAAAGGAAAAAAAATTATAATATGTAAAATTGTTTCTAAGAACACTACTGCATATAATCACCCAAAGTTAATACGAAATTTTTTGTAGCAAAACTATTTCTTTTACGTATTGAAGATGGAGAATTTAAATTTTCTAAAATTTCAAAGGAAAGATTTGCTAAAGCATTGTGAACTAATGTTGTGCAATGGTAATTATCCCAAAAAAAGAAAGTGTCTCTGTTTTCTTGACCATTATTTAAACCGACTACTGTATTATCAGAACTATTATATAAATTAATGGCAGCATCCACACAATTCGTAATTCCAAAACAGTTCATACTATCTTTAGTTTTTAATTCTTCAAAAAATTTATCAATTTTTTAAATATATTATTTTCACATCAGTTTCTCTGTTAAATTTTACTAAATGTTCAAGTAAATATTTATTATGAGATTCGACAAGTTTAGAGATTCTCGCCTTTTCTTCTATATTGCTTGTTTTATAAATAGGAAGTTGAGACAGGTCTTGGATATTAGGCATTAGGATGGTGTTAATAGTTGGAAAGGATTTTACTAGAAGGTGGAGAGCGTCGATTAAAGATTGTACTACTTCAAGTGGTGATGCAGACATTCCGGAAAAGACAAAGTCATTTCCTGCGCCATATACCTATAGATGCATGTAAATGGACATAATTAGATAAACAAATAAAAAAGAAAAGTGATTGTGTGTAATGTTTAAAAAATACATACCGAAAACAATGTTCTACTAAAATCATTAATTTTCTTTGCTTTTTTAGATTTATTTGATTTAGTATTAGCAGCAATAAACATTTTAATTTGCTGTTTAATTCCGTATACATGAAACTCAGATTTAGGGCCCGTGCATCCTTGAATAAATTCGCTACTATTAAATTTTTAGAAAATAAAAGAAATTAGCATAAATTTTTTGCTTAATAAAAATGCATTAAGATCAACGTTTCAACGTTGTTGACACTCTACTATTTGGCAAATTCCGTCACTAATTATTTTATAAGCAGGACAGTTCATATGTTTTTGCCTGCAAAGCAGGCAAAAACATATGAACCGTCCTGCATATAAAAACTTAGTGACACGGAAATATCAAATAGTAGTGCGACGAAAAAGTTTTAAAAAGTAAAGAAAGGGACGGGGTAAGAGAGGGGCGAAGGAAGAGTGGGAGAATGGATGAGAAAGTGGAAGTGGGAAATGGGATGGGGGAGTGGGACAGAAAAAAGGGTGAAAAAGAGGGATGGGAAGGTGAGAGCGAAGAGAAGCAAGAATAAAGAGCGAAGAGCCAAAAAAAAGAGGCAAATTAAAAGAAGATTTAAACTCCGACGAAGTCACGTGACTTCGGATTTCGCGTTCCTGCGAAATTGAAGGAGGTTCAAACTCCGCCGAAACAGAGTTTGAAACTCCGATCAAACGACGAAGTCACGTGACATACGGGAATTCGAATTCTCACAAAATTGACAAAATTCAAGCTCCGCCTAATCGGAGTTTGAAATTTTGAAAAAAAATAAATAAAATAAAATAAAAAATAAAAAACAAAAATAAATAAATAAAAAATAAATAAAAAATAAATAAATAAATAATAAAAAAAAGAAATTTTCTTAATTTACACCAGGTCAGGTGTATATACACACATACTAATTTTTGATTTCCGAATTTGTTTAGCATATAAATTATAAACGAAAAATTAGTATAGCTTAAGGTTAGGGTGAGAGTAGCTTTAGGGTTAGATGAGGTTATAGTTTATACTAAAATTTTGTAAGGAATATTTTTTGTTAGAACCCCAAAAGCTATTATATAATTAGGATTTTGAGATATCAATATATGTGTGTACATACACATGGTGTACAAATAGCAATCGTCTAAAAAAAATAACAATAAAAAAATAGCAAAAATAATAAAATAGGTTTAAAAAAGAAAAAGACATAGTAATTAAAAAAATAAACAAGTAGATATAAACTAAAAAATTGTTTAAATAAAAATTAAAATAAATTATAACAGGCTGTAAATCCAAACTAATAAACTATAAACTTTATATCTAAAATAGATAGAAAAAATAACAAGGCTGATTTTACTTTGGCAAGTTGTATCAAAAAACAACTAGATAAGCTACACTTTAGTTTTAAAAATAGGAAAGTTATAAATAGACAACACATTTATTGAAAATATAAATTTTATATTAAAAATAGAGTAATTTTAGATATCTCCTGTGAGAGATATATACCTTATATATCTCCCAAATCTCAACCAATAAAAATACAGTTTTATCATATGATGCCAGATTAAATTAAGCTTGCTAATGTGTAACTTCGGCCGCATCAGTCGGATGATCGACTTTACGGCGTTTAAAATTTTTTACCAATCAGAGCACGGCATAAAAATCTGCGAGTATAAAATTTTTGCACTTAAAATTTGAGCATTGCTAGTATACTTATTAGTGAATTGTTCATAATCAACTTTAATAAAAAAAAAAACTTGAAGCAATTAGTATTAAAGTTGATCGTGAAAATTTTTTGACTTATAATTTCGATCATAAATTTATATTCTGATCCTAATTTTATAAACCTATAACCAATATATGCTATGAAATTCCTTTGATCTTACAACAATTAACTTTTTAATTGCTTAATTATTCATCATAAAATATATATATGATATTCTATGAAAAAAACCCAACAAGTTGGGAACACTAATATAAGTATAAACATTTTTTTTTTTTTTTTGAAATAGTGCAAAACAGAGACATTAATCTTCTATATCTAAAAGTATGATTCTTTTTCATCGAATTAAATTTTGCTATGATTTACAGGAGGTACGTTGTTCATAAAATTTAATAATCTACAGTATATTATTAGCAAAGGTATGTAAGTATACACAATTGAAATTATATTATTGTTAAGAGAATCAAACAATACCTTCTGAGAACATCTTATGTTGATATCTTTTGCTGGATGCCTGAACGTTTTGCCATTTTTCCTAAATTTCATTAGTTTTCGTTAATTATTATTGAAATAAAATATTAATTATCAAACCAATAAATATATACGTATCGCATCAAATTAGATAGTAGTATAAGTTTAAACATATTGATATCATTTTGCATTACTAAATAATATAGTAAGCGTGAAATTCAATAATGTGCATTTTATTGCATTATGTGTGAATATATATTAGGAACTCAAATCACATATATAATTATTGGGATTTCAAAAAAAATTACGATGTGACAGAAATACAAAGTAGCTAGCTTATTTTTTTTTATTTTTTATTTTTTAGATTAAGCATTTAATTTAGCACGGGAGCATCACTTGTGAGTTAGTTTCGCCTATAAATAAACCAATTTATCACGTTAATTAACACTTAACAAATAAATGCAAAATAATTTGATCACTATATATACAGTATATTGATTCTGATCGTATTCGACTTGTACTGATCTAGCAAAATCAATGATCAAATGTTAATATTCACATCAATATGAAAAAAAACAATAAAATTATTATCTTGATAGCAAATATAAAATAAGTAATTCGTTCAGCTTGAAAAATTCTTAAAACATTTGACTGCTCCATATTTAATTTCATTAAAACATGATAAGATACAGTAGTAATTCAATACTTGGCCATTTAGTAAGTTCTAAATAAAATTTTTTAGTTTAATAAAAAAAAAACAATTAAGAACTATAGTAATAAAAAGAATTTAGAACTATATAAAATAACTTTAATATAAAGCATTAATGTATTATAAAATTTACCTTAAGTAACCCTACATATACGTTTTCGTGAATACTTTGAATTATCATTTTGGTCTTCAGTCAGGCTCTCTTCAAGAGCTTTTTTTGGTTGACCACGTTTCTTCTTCACCGCAGCTTCTTGGGGGTTCTCTTTTTGATTATGTTTCTTTTTCACCGCAGCTTTTTGCATGTTCTTTTGTTGACCACGTTTTTGCGTATTCTCTTTTTGACTATGTTTTTGCATGTTCTCCTTTTGAGTACCAATTCTTCCTTTTTTTGGTTGACCAACTGACTTACTTTTAAGAGGGTTGTTAATTAATGAAAACTTCGGAGATGCTGATTCACTTTTTTCATAGACTGAATCTGAATTATTGTTGGTGGTGATATAGAGAGATTCTAAATATATTTCAAGGTACAACATAAAATCAGGCATTTATCAGAATCCGTCGCGATTTTACTCAAAATTTCTCCTGATAGCCTGTAGATATACATGTACCGTAGTTTAGAGACACATTCACTGGAAGATTCAAGTAATGTTGGAGTGTCACTAGATATTAAAGTTTCCTGGGCTTCTGGTTCTGTGCGGCTGTAAAAGTCAATATAATTCTTGGCAAGCTCCAATTCAGATGGATCTTTTTGCCACCACTTTGGAAAATGAAAATCATCAAGTTTAGAAAGAGAAAGGCGAATCGCTACTGCAAGGAAATAGCAACAAATTATTCCAGTGAATTCAAGATTGTGACAGCTGCAAGAAAGTATGCACCCATCATAGCGTACCTGGCGTATAATGTCAGGCTTTTCAAAGCGTGCCAATTTAAAACAATGTGATCCATTGTCATCAGTTTCTTCCTCATACATGTAAGCATCTTTTGAGTTCTATTCAATAGCAAATTTCTTCCACACATAGCGTGTTAGACAATTAACAGCTTGATTCTCTATAGGGTTATCAAAAGTTGAACGAGAGGGGTAAACAAGCTCCTTATACATAGAAATATGTTCGGCCTCCTCCCGAGTATCAAGTGCTCATTCAAAAGCTGCCAAAAAATCAGTAAGTGTGGTTTTCTTGTCAAGAAAACCCTTTAGTAATTTATTCATCGACTCTTCCCTTTGTGTTGAAGACATATCGGCAAAAATATAATCCTTGAGATATGCTGGAGATCACTGCTCATGCTATTGATTGAGTACTCCAAGGTATGACTTTGCTTCATCATAGTCATTATTTATTATAATATAATTCCATCGTCATTCTGACTGATACAATAATTAAAACATTTAATAAGATCTGTATGAAACTGAATATATTTGGGTCCAAGTTTGGAAGTCATATTTGATCTAATGTTCTTGAGCATATGCCATATGCAAAGACCATGTTTGGTGTTATATTTATTGGTAAGAACAGAACGGATCGCATCAGATATCGGAAGATCATTATCAGTAAGTATAGTCTGCGGTGCAATACAAAAAATACATATAAAGGCTTCAAAAAGCCACTCAAAACTCGATCGAGTCTCGTCCCGAAGCAATGCATCAGCGGCACAATATGAATGTCTATTATTAGTAATACCAGTAAAAATTCCAAAGGGTATTGAAAAATAATTGCATTTAGATTTGTTGTCAAACACAATTACATCGTGAAAGTGCATGTACTGTCGCTTTTGTGATGAATATGCCCAGATAACATGCTTCAAACGATTCTCATTGTCCAGTTCAAATTCAAAGGAAAATTCAGGATCATTCCTGCGTTTTTCTTGTAGAAGAAGAAGAAAATCATGGACCTGGAATTCACTACGTGAAATTCGATCATTGCTAATAAAATTATACACATCTCGAATTAACCATTTTTTTGCAATTGTTCTATACTTAGTCACAAGTAGTGACTAAATTTGCGATGTTGAGATGCCAGCCCTTTTTAAAAGCAAAATTTCTTCTTTAATATCTGCTGGTATTTCACAGCTAGTAGGTGAAATACGCATAAACTCAACCAGAATCAGGGGGTGATTATGGCGAAGAGTTGTTTGTGTAATATAATATTTGTCGTCATTTTGGTTATGATTTAGACGAATAGACCACTAACAATTACATTTTTTAGATTCTGTGTTTCTACTTTTTTTATTAAGGTCCTTAGGCTTAGGTTTAAATTGTCCATAACGATCGCATGTAAAAACTTGGGTATGACATAAGCCACCACTACGGTTGCTGCCTTTATTATAGATAATATTGAACCTCTTTGCTTTTGAATATTGATCAGCTACATGTTTGAAAGTTTCGAGAGAGTTAAAAGAACTGCCATTTCAAAAAAGTACAACTTCGGGTTCTACTGAACTTTCAGACTCCACTGAATTTTCAGGTTCTATTGAACTTTCAGGTTCTACTGAATTTTCAGGTTCTATTGAACTTTTAGGCCCTACCGAGGTTTCAAATTCAAATGAGTTTTCAGACTCAACTAAGCTTTCAGGTTTGCTTTCAGGTTTGGATTCATTAAGTGCAATTTCTTAAAAAATTTTAAAGATATTTAATTTTCATACTATAATCATATTAAATCACTAACAACTAACACCCACCATTATAAAGCAGTCCTTGAATACTTGATGCAAAATAATTCATGATTAAATAGAGCCGCTAATGTTGATTAAGTTCTTGGTTTTTCATTTGCAGGTCGTCACCACCAGTTTCTTTGTGTCTTTCTTAATAGAGGCAAATAATATGTGCTTCTAAAATTTTTGTCATAAAAATGGCAGTAAAATTTTGTGAGACTCTTTTTAAGAGACTCATCTTCTAGACAAAAAACCTGAATTACAATATATACATACATAGTATGTAAAATGCTAACACCCATTTGTCACTTAACTATAGTTGGCTTAGCTTAGTTTTTAAAAAAGAATCACACGTCACTTATTATAAAAACTCAAGATTATAATACTAAAAACTTGGGCAGATCGCTTCTAAGAAATAATTATGTTATACTTAGTCTTTGTGAGAAATTTTGCTTTTTATATTGCAAAATATACTTACGTAACTTATAAACTCACCAATCATTACATCATTACTAAATATTATGTACATGTTTTATGCAGTCAAAAGAATCGAAAGAAAAAAAGCATTGTACTGTACAGGATACTTATTAACAAATAACATTGTTACTCAAACTATTTGGGTCCAGATTACATGATAAATAATATCACATTAGGCATTTATGCCTTATTGTTATTGCCAAAATTGTATAATACTATTCATCGCGTAGTTTGGTCCCAAATAGTTTGGCTAAAGAAAAAAATACTGTTTGTATGTGTAACAATACTTTGTATATATTGATCGATCTATATAATAATAATCTAGGGCAGAATTAAGATCTGGCCGACACTTCTGATCTATAGTGTATATTGTTTGTGCTAGCACGTGATAATACTGTATTTTTATTGGTTAAGATTCGGGAGATATATAAGGTATATATCTCTCACAGGAGATGCCTATAATTTCTCTTAAAAATAAAGTTATAATAGTTGTAATATAATTGCTAAAAAAGAATAACAATAACAAAACTCTTTTTAATAATTACTTGTATCAAATTTATACCAAAGTTTTTGTTCTTAAAAATAAACTATTTCAAGATAAAACATTAATAGGTAAAGCAGCAATTATAAATTAGCATCTATTATTTAGAGATAGTTCTTATATACTACTTGCTAATAAGCTTAGAGTTTATTACTTATTGCAAAAACAGTGGCACTTATTATTTAGAAATAGTTTTTATATACTACTTGCTAACAAGCTTAAAGTTTATTATGACTAGCATATTAGCAGCATTACAAGTCTTATTTTGTATTAAAAAAAATATATATACTCTTTAGAATAAAGCACAAAACAAGTAATACTTTCTTTCATCTCTACTTCTCCAAAAATTTTTTTAAAAAGTAACCAAAATAGCTTACCACTATTAAAGAATTAATATTGTTTATCTCTTTTATTTTCAAACAAACTTAGTAGTATACAACTATATATTTGTTTATATTAAAAATACAGTATTACTCCATGTAATAATAATCAGGTTCTAGATTTCAAGTTGAAGAGATATCTGAAATTGGTTAGTAATTAGAAAGAAATTACTGTTAAAGTTTAACTTTACAATAAAGATATACAAGTTATCTAATTTTTTTAAACCTGACATAAGTTATATATATATATATATATTTTCAACGGTAATCAAGTAATTACAAAGTATTACAGTAATAGTAACATAGTATATATATTTATATATTTTGAGTTCCTCTTTGTAATATTACAATTTCCAGACTACTGCACACTGCACTCTTCACTTGTGCATAAAGCTTTACTTGGTTGCTTTATGATGCCCAAGTGTAATCATCTAGCCACAGATTTACCTCCTCTTTGGCCCCTAACTTGCTAGAGGATTTCTCTCTAGATCAACAAAAAGCTATACTCACCTACTTGACATGAGTTATAATAATGTACTTTATATTTTATTTTAATAGTTATTTTGTTTTTTTTTTAGTTTAGTTAGTTTAAATTTAGTTAGCTTTGTAGAAGCTTCTCTCTTTGTTTTACTATTTTCTTGTTTTTTTTTTATTGTCTTCTTTACTTTTTTTTCTTTTATTTTTTCTTTTTATTTTATTTCTTTATTTATTTTTTTTTCTATATACTATAAGCCTTCTATATGCTATATGTATATATAAATTTTACTTTTTTTTGTATTTTGTAAAGAAAGAAAAATCCAAAGAGTTTGGCTCTTGACAGAACTAACATAATCTTTGCTTCTTCTAAAAGTAGTGTAATAAGTTATACTAGTAGTTATTTTTATAAAAAACTAAGCAATACCAGACTTGCTATATGTAGATATTAGAGTTCTTTTAATAAAGGTACTAATGAAACTGTTAAAAAGTTAAAAAAAAATTGCTAAAATAAAAAAAATAATAATTTAGATTTAATTAGAGATAAAATTTACTAGCCTAAGAGTTTTTAGAATTAGAATATAGTTTTTTTTTTTTTTAAATTTGGCAGTCATACCAAAACTTTATTAGGCCTAAATTAACAAACTACACTGTCAACTAATTTTATCAAAGTAATTGCTTTGGTTATTTAAGTTACAAGTTTTGACTAACCTGGTTGTATCAAATGCATCTCTATATTTGATCTGCTATAGTAAAATTTTATCTTTCTACTTATCTCTTTTCC